CCTTTTATTGTGTCCCCCTCCTAATAGGTTCTATAACATAACTATCCTCCTTCAATCTGAAAACCATTTCCCTCGTTCACCTCTCCAGAAAAATGTAATGCCCTACGGTGCCCGCTACAAAAACCGTTCTGCAGGCCGGCACGCCAGCCATTCAGAAAAGAAGATTACCTATCGGAGTGGCCGGCGATGATGGGATTATTTTAGAAAAGCACTTCACAACAGATGGACAGTGTGGTCCCACGCAGCCTCGGTTTTCTCTTTTAAAGGGACAGCTGGACGCCCGGCGGTCACGGCCAGCCAGAGAGGAAGGCGGGGCCAGAGCGCCGGAGATGAGTGATGTGCGGGGTGTGTCGGGAAGGGAGAGAGAATTTCATTTTCTCCCTTATTATCCCCATCTAAGCGTCACCAGTGGTCTGTGAAGGGGAAAATGGAGAGGACCACAGTAAATTTTCTCACCTCGCTAAAGAGATTAGGGAAGAGGCCGCGTGAGCTCGAGGCTTATATTTTTCTGGGAACTTTAGAAATTAGTTTACTGAGCAAATCTTTTAATATTCCCATTGGCTTCGCCGAGGAAGAAGAGCCAATGACTCGATCTGACAGCTGGGAAAAGTTGTCTTAATAACCCAGTGCGCGTAAGTGCCCTTAGATGCTCTGGAAAACTATAAACATGAGGTATGTTTCCACTCAGCCCCGTTCTCCGCGTGTTCCATCGGCTGCTGCTAAAACCACGGCCCGCGGGCGAGGCCGGGGCAGGGGCGCACTGGGAATTAGAACCCAAGTCCTCCCGGTCGTGCACACGGAGTGTGTGACCTTGGAGGAAAGTCTGTCCCTTCCTTGTCGGTAACACGGGGACTGTGTCTGCCACCACTCAAGGAACCACACACACGGTTTGCGTCTGGACCTGCTTTCGCAACATTGGTCCGTACGCGTCCATCTTTGTTCCAATAACCAGCTTTCTTAAATCTCGCTGGGAATAAATGTTGGCAGGAGGGAGATCAAATTCCCTCGCTTTTTCATTTTCTTCAATGTGCCCTTGACTGTCTGGCAGTCTCTACATTTCCAAATAAATTTGGGAGTTTGCTTGTCCATTTATTTAAAAAATTAACAAAATCCCAAACAACCCAAACCTGTCGGTGTTTTGATTGGTTCTGCCTAATCTCTAATCTCTGCCGGTAAATTTGGGGGAGGATTGATTTTTTTCAGTTCATGCCCATCACTTATCGCTGCATTTATTTAGGTCTGAATTCCCTCAGCACAGTGCTCCCGGCTTTCCTCATTGTTCTCGGTGGCAGTGTGGGTGTAAATTAAGTTGTCCGCCATTTCCAGAGGAGCTCACGCGTGTGTTGTGTGTCTTCATTTACAGAGAGGACGACGCCGTCGGCATTGTTGTATTTCCTTTACTCGTCCACTGAACTCCATAAACTGTGCCGATTTGTGAATACCCACTTCATCACTTCTATTTGCTTCATGGTCACCCAGCAATGTGCTTCATATACAAGGAAACCTTACAAAACAATAAGATTTAAAAGTCTATATGAAAAGGGATAAGGACAGAAAATTCCCAGGGAAAGTCCATGCAAATGGCCATGAGGTATAAGAAGAAACACTCAACCTCACTAAAAAAAAATCAAAGAATTGCCAATAAGAACAACACCAACCACCGCCCTTTCTATCAGATGGGCAAAGGTTAAGAACACTGTAATACCCGAATTTCGTGGGACGTGAGAGAAGCTGCCACCCATCGTCCGCTGTTGGAGCTAGAAGTCAACCTGTGACTATCTAACAAAATAGAAACCGCCACCCCATTGTCTGCTGTTGGAGCTAGAAGTCAACCTGTGACTGTCTAACAAAATAGAAACCGCCACCCCAGTGTCCGCTGTTGGAGCTGGAAGTCAACCTGTGACTATCTAACAAAATAGAAACCGCCACCCCATCGTCCGCTGTTGGAGCTGGAAGTCAACCTGTGACTGTCTAACAAAATAGAAACCGCCACCCCATTGTCCGCTGTTGGAGCTGGAAGTCAACCTGTGACTGTCTAACAAAGTACAAAGTGTGTGTTTCCTCTGAGGCGGATTGTTGTCTTCTTGACAGTTCTCAAAAACACCACCCCACACTCAACAAACAGGCCTGTAACGTGATCATCACTGTGGCACTCACTGGGCGTAATAGAAAAGGGCTTCGAACACCTCACCTGCCCGTTAACAGACGACTGAGTACGTCAGTTCTTGGTCATCCACACAAGTGATAGAGTTTGCAGCCATTAAAACATGACCTAACAACCGACATAGAAAGATGCCCAAGTTACGTGGTGAGCTTGGCAACAGGTTTCAGAAACGGGAGTGGGTTCCAGAACCACCGCGCTTTGTAACAGAGTGGGTTGTAATAAACAGCATACAGTGCGGGGACAGGCGGGCGCTACCGTCACAGCACCTGAGTGAAACCCAGGCAATGCTGGGTAAGTGCCATAACATCCCTGTGTCTCACGAACTAATCCGTGTAAAATACTCCGGCATAAAAAAATGATAAGTAAGTGTCACCCATTATTATATAAATGCACACAAAAAGTCATAACTATTCACGGGGAGAAAGCTGTCTGAAAGAACAGACACAATATTTTTACAGCAATTATCTCTGACTGTTATTTCTATGTTAATCATGTTTGTAATGGTTGAATTTTAAAATGAACATTTGTTATTTTTGATCTTTTGTCATTGGGAAACAGAATAAAGATAAAATGGACTTTTTTAAAAAAAATAGGAAGTGCCATGGATCTCGTTCTCGGTACTGCATACCCGCCAGCTAAGTCTTAGTTTCAACCTGGAGGGTGACGCACCTTTCTCATGTGGTGGCTCATGGAAAATGAAAGGAAAATAGGGTGGCATCAGTCACTTGTCACCCCAAAACATACCAGACAGTGTCTTCTACAGGGAGTCCTTGAGCTCCAGGCAAAGAGTGATATATGGAGACTCTTAAAAATAAATATATCTTCGCAGTTATTCTCTTTCCCCTTGTATTAACTTTTAAAGGTTATTGCGCATTATATTTTCATTAAGAAGCTGGATAAATAACAATGCACTTGACATTAAAATTAGTAAATTCCATTCTAAACCTCAGCGATGTAAGCCTTTCAGCTGCTCATACAACGCATTTACAGCTCTGTTTTTAATAGCTCACATGATAAATGTGTGTGGCTAATTTAAAAGCAAATGCCCAGGACGGAGGGAAGGGAAGGGGGACTGGGAGAGATTAACCAAAGAACATATATGCTTAGCCCATGGACACAGACAGTATATGGTGAAGGCCTGGCCGGGGGGGGAGGGGGGGGGTGGCACGGCAAAGGAGTGACACCACATGGGAGGATGCAAATGACTCAAGTCCCACCCTCAATCTCCTGCCCCACCCCCATTTCCCACTCTACTTTCATGGGAATAGGATAGATATAAGGATTGCTGTCCCTGAGGTTCCCAAGAGCAGCAGTGGGGAGTCTAACCAGGTTTGCTTGGAATCTACCCCGGTCTCAGCCCAGAGTTTCAACAGCAACCGGCATATATCCCGGCGCGGTATATACTCTAGAAGGAGGTGGGGAGGGAGGAGAGAAGAGGGGTAAGAAGAGAGGGAGGAAGGGAGGGAGGGAGGGGGAGGGGAGAAGCCCTTTATATTTGTACAGAGACGTCAAGACTGGACTTGCTTTATAGGGGCTGCAGCAGCTGGATCTGGGCAGCTGCCCAAGTTCTGGTCAGAACATGGGGTCAAAGCCGCTTCCAGACCCTGGGCCATTACTATTTACTGTCCCATCATTCAAGTTTAGGAGACCCTGTGTCTCAGATTATAGCTGGAACCAGTGGCTTCAGGACCGAAATATCATGGAACAGGAGCCAGTGAACAAAATCGTGGACACGGGAGGCCTCTCTGTTGCTGCCCCTGGACGCTATGCCCAGCAAATGAGTGGCCTTAAATGTACGTGCACACTCACGAACGCAACGGGCCCTCCCATGCTTACACAGACGGCCAACCCTCGCGACTCAGCGAAGCCTGCAGGGATCCCCCGCAGCGTGGCCTCCCCGCGGACAACCCGATGGCAAACACTGAGCACCGCTAAGTGTGGCACATGCTTTTCTCACTCAACAAGCGACAAACCTACGCTATTTTCCTCCTCTTTTTCCAGATGAAGGAGATGAGGCTCAGAGAGGGTGGTAACTGCCTGGCCACACCCACAGTGTCAACTCAGGTCCTGACACCAGAGCGGGATGCTGCCCCTCTGCTGGACCCACCCACCTCCAGGCCTGGTCCTGTCGCCTTTCCTCTCATGCTCATCATCCTGAAGTGAGAAAACCTTCACCCCTTCACACTCTCATTGGAAAAGCTGAGCCCATCAGGGGTCCCTGGCCTTCCCCTCCCCCCACCTGGGTCCGGGGAGAGGCAGGGCTTCTGTCTGGTCCTCTCTTTTGTTAGGAAAAGGGAAGGAGGCTGGGAAGTGCCTATTGACCGCAGTCAAATGGTGTGGCACGGGCAGAGGGACACGTTTTTAACTCCGACAAGGCAACGCCCTATCTCTTTTTCTTTTCTGAATACAGGACACTTTCTCATGAGACAAGTGTAGGTCTTTTAACACCTGCAGACTTACTTTGAAATCGGTGCTACTGTGTGTTGTCCGAGAGGCTTTGGCTGGTCCATAGTAAAAATTCAAAAAGACATCTCCACCCTTCCATCTCAAAGAGGAGGGAGAGGCCCTTTGCAAAAGGAGGCTCATCAAACCCCTCCCACACGGCGGGCAGCTCTTCTGACTTTTATTGGAATGACTAATGCGTGGTCAATACCTGTAGGAAATCCTGAGTTAGCCAGACAGCTCTCCCAGCAATGACATGTGCAAGCCAGAGGGGGCATCTTCGCTGAACAATAAGGTAAACGACACAGAGAAAGTGGTGCCTGGCATTTCTGGACCTCCGGCTGCCTCAGCTTGGTGGACGCATAGCTTCAGAGCCCGAGCAGAGCACTACACTGTAGCTTGTTTAATTAACATTTGTTTGGTGTGAATATACATTAATTTGGACACATTTAGGTTTGCTCGCTATGATATAGTGTTAGCTATTATCAAGCAATTTTCTCACCAGAATTCCATTCCTGTTTCTTCACAGTCTGGTTATTCTCCTATTTGTCTTATTTCTGCAGAATATGGCGAAACCAAGTCTCCGCGGTGGATTACATGCAGTGATGATGTGCAGGCGCTCTGGCCAATCAGAGGGGCTCTCTGCCTGTGCCATCTGCATCGCTGGCCCAGGTTCACACACACACCCTTACCCTCGAGTCTGGGTTCAGCCACAGGACCCCAGCAGCCCTCAGTCAGGTGTGGGCGACACCGCAAACGATTGCTGGTTGCAGCCGTATGAGCCATGTGCCCACCAGAGGCCTCGCCACCGTGTGGGTGTGGCGGGTCGGAACCCAGAGGAGAAAGGTCTGTGGAGATGCCGGGCTTCCTCCTCCATGGACGCCCATCAGCCTCCCGGAGGGACGCCTGCAGCCCTCGGCTCTGTGGGGGCCCCACTCGTGTCACGGCACATGTCAGTCTGGATCGACACCATCTACTTCAGGGTCCCGCTTCTCTCTCCTGTAAAAGACAAAGAGAGAGAGAAACCTTGTCCAAACGTGATCGTCAAGAAGAGTCACCACAAGGTGAAACTGTTCAGATGCCGGCTCTGCTGTTTTTGTTCGCAGTAGCCCCGTTTTTCTGGCAGGTCTGCACCAGGAAAGACAGGAAGGGCTCCCCAGGGGACATGCCCGCCATGCCCGCCAGCGCCCGGTCACGGCTACTGGGGGGAGGGGCCTCCCCAAGCCCCTGGGCCCATCGTCTGCTTTCCACCCAAAGATGGAGCGGGGAGGGGGGACACAAAGAACTCACCTGATCAGGGGGCACAAGAAGACCCAACCACACTTCTTGCTGCTCTGGCCTCTGGGGGCGGGCAAGGGGGCTGAGAGCAGCAGTGGTAAGAGCAGCAGTGACTAAAGCCACGCCGTCTGGTCATTGGTTCTGTGGATGCAGCAAGGCAGGCGGGGCCCAGGGCATCCTGGCGGGTCCCAGCTCAGCCCCTGCTCAGCCCACAGCAAGGGGTCCTGAGAGTCAGAGCACCACCTGCAGGCTCCTGTCCGTCTCTTCAGGGGCCCACGTGATCTTGACTCTGGTCCTTGTGAATCATCTCAATCAAATCCCTTTCTGTGAAGCAGCTGAAATAAAATGCATGATAAACAATAAAGAATTGCCCAATTTTCCAGGCCGACTGGTCACCCAAATACGCAGAGAACAAGTAAAATGACCCAAATTGCCAGATGCTTCAAGGATTTCTTTTCCATCTGTTATTTCTAAGCCATCGTTTTTACTTACTTCTTTGCAAGGGAATGATCTCGTCCTCCCAGAGTCTTAGCTGATCTAAGGAAGACATCCACCCGACTGCAGTTTGTCCTATTTCTGTGGGTCTTTCTTACCGTTCTTCCCGGGTTTCACATAAAGAAATTATTTTTCCTTAAAGTTAAGGAATGTGTGTTTTCACAAGAAGAAAGGGTTAGAAGTACTCAAACTGGCAGAAAGTATTTGGCAAGAAAACGCTCGGAAATGCTGGCAGGAGCTCATCTTCGTCACAAGGGAGGCGGCCGGTGGCGATGCCTCTCACAGGACACTCACACGTCTGCGTCGTGGTGCCGCCACAGGGGTCTCACGCCGTGCCTGTCCCCACGTGGTGGGTGGCCGAGCGTATGTCGAATATTCCACAGATGACACTGTGATCCTGTCGACCGGGTGGCGAACGTCCAATTTTATGTACGAATCTCAACCACGCATGAGCGTCCATCCGCCGCCTGACCTCAGGTTTTAACTCCATGCACATTACAAGGAATTTCCTGAAGATGTTAAAAGCCGATTTTCCGGTAAGAAAAGAGGAAGCGTCGGATCTTGTTAAAGGATGGTGACCACACGCGGCTTGAAGATTAATTATTAAATGCCGCGGGGTTGGTGGTTAGCTAGAGCATCCAGATAGGTTCTGAGAAGTCATGAGGGTGGGGGGAGCGAGAGGGAGGGCGGGAGGGGAAAGAAGAGTAAAGAGGAGAAGAGAGGAAAGGAGAGGAAAAGGGAGGAGAGAAGAGAGAAGGGGAGGAGGGGGAGGGGAGGGGAAAGGAAGGAAGGGGAGGCTTGCCACACGCCACCATCTTCTCTCGGCTCAGCCTGCGTGGGCCAGAGGTCAGGCACTGAGGCTGTAGGCTACCTGCCCGCCCTCCCTTGCAGACAAGCTCTGTTCCAGGTACGGGCTCCTCTGAACCCCAACTCCGGTGGCCCTAACGCAGCCTGGCGCTCCCCTAGCAGAAGGTTCTGGCAGCCTCGGGGCCGAGGGCTCGGGCCCAGAGCGGCTGATTCCGAGCGAGCCCAGCAAAGGCCTCTGGAGGCTGCCGAGCATCTGCGTCTTAATCAACAACAAAAGTGCTCTCGGTTGTGGGTTTCTGGAAGAAACCGCTGTTTCCTGAACAGGCCACGCAACAGCTGGCGTGGGAACAGTGCATGAACCGAAACCGTTCTTCTCAGAACAAAACTCTAAGCCGAGGGCTCTGCTGGCTCCTCTGAGGGCGCGGGTGCCCCCCTCCCCCGCCCCCGCCCCCGGATCCATAAGGAGGCTAATGAGAAAGAGGCTTATGAATAAAAGAAGGGACGCCTTCCCAGGCAGGCGTGAGAGGCCCGCCTTCTCCCTCCAGAACCCACAGCCTTTGAAGCAAAGCCAGGGGCGTTAATGACTGGAATGATTTCCCTCCCCCGCCACGGAGGACCCGCAGTTTCAGGAAGCGATCGGTGCTTGCTTGTTAGAGGCCTTTGAAATCTGCCCAGCTCCGCTCCGGGCCTGAGCCATCTCTCACGGGAGGCGGATTGATGTTTGAGGCTGAAACGCCTACCCAGCCTTCCGTGGGGCCAGGCGGAGAATGCCAGCTTGGCATCCGAAGGGGAGGCGGAGCGGCGAGCTCTGGGGGGTGAAGGGTGGGACAGGTGCCCTCAGAGGACAGGCCCACATCACTCAGAGACCCCGGAGGCCTGTCCTCCCTCCCCAGGCTGGCTTCCAACTGTCTGATGCACTCCCCAGCGAAGGGAGATTTCGCAGAACTCTAAGATCGCCACGGTTTTTAAGTCGTGGTATTAGAGTTATCGCCACCAAAAAACTGTTAGAACAGCTATCGTTTAAGTGATATAAGTTTGGAAATTTCTCAGAGGAAGGATGACTGGCAATTCAAAGAGCCAGTCTGTGTGTGAGGGGGGCGGGGGGAGCAGAGAAAAGTGGATGTCAAATCCCACCCCTCCCTTCCCCCACCCTCTGACCCTCTGCTGGGTGTTCCAATCTCCCACATCCCAGCCCAACAGGCAGGTCAGCCCGAGCAGGCAGGCGCCTCCCGGGCCAGGCGCAGCCATCCCTCCAAGCTGCCCTGGCTCAGGGGAGCTGTCCTACAGGGAGCTGTCCGGGTGGGCACTGAGGCCCCCCTGTTGCTCACGGAGACTGAACACAGAAATGGAAAAGGAAACGTAAAATTGTGTAGATTAGTGTTACCTCTAAAATCCCATCTTGCATCATTAGCTGTATTTTATATATATATTTAAGTTAAGAGTCATTGACTCCCTGATTTCTTTTCTGTGTGTATATGAGGCGGGGGAGGAGGGTGCACACACTCTGGCAGCCTGGAGTGATGGGTGGAGGGGGTCTGTCTGTCCCCCAGGTTTGGGAAGCTCTCAGGATGCAGGGGCCCCTCCTCCAGAGTGTCTCCAGGCCAATGGCGCTCACGGGACTGTTTCTCCTCGAAGGCCGGGCTGCGGGAGGCTCAGGCTGCCCAAACTGCCGTGATGGGGCCACACCAGGGACCGCTCTGTCTGCCTCGGTCGCAGGCGCCCTTCCTGAGTGACCGTGACGTCCTTGCCGGCTGCAGGTGAAGGCATGCGCCTCCTGATCGGCCCTGGTCCTCCCAGGCCTTCCATCCGCTGTGCCGTTTCCCGGCGTCATTTCCCCGGGATGGGCCGGTGAGCCGGTGAGTCAGATCGGCCGACGTCGGGCTCTAATTCCTCATATTAAAAGCAAACATAGCCGAGTCTATTACTTGAAGTTCAACTTTAAATTGGAAAAAGTCTAGTATCTCGGCGACCAGATCCCTGCAGGAGGACGCCCCATCATTTAAAGCGCCGGGGGCATCCTCGCAGTGGGCTGAGGACACTCACCTGCAGCCCCCCAGGAACGAATCAAACCCTTAGCTATACTTTTTAACCCAAAGGGGGAAGTCTTAGGAAACAGATTCTGTGCTCTTTGCATTTCTAAAGGAAATTCCCCCAACAGAGGCGGCACCCTGCGCTCCTCGCCCCTCCTGGGGACCAGGTGCCTGAACCTCCTCCATGCGAGGTCCCGTGGAGTCGGATGGCAGTCACCTGTTCCACGGACACTGATTTTGCACGGCCAGCACACCTCATCCGATATCCCTCTGGGGGCTGGGAGAATGGGGGTGCAAGGCGGAAACTCAGGGCCGAATGCCCACATGCTCAGCTCACAGGGCAGGCAGGCAGGGCTCAGGTGGAGGCAGGGAGATCACCTCCTGTGTCCTCAAGTCTTCACTGATGGTGTCTGCCCCTCCTTCCCTCCCCTCCTCCCCCACCCCACCCCTCGCTCTTTGGAGGAGCCCTTCCCCTATACACTGACTCCTTGTGCCTGGGCCACACTTGCCTTCACCGTTTGCACACCTGTCACAGGGCTTTGGAATGGAAAAAAATACTCCGTTTCACAAAAAGAGTAAATCAGATGTGACCTCTGGGATGTGTTTAGTTTGGATGACAGCTACAAGGAGGACTGGGACATGGCTCCCAGGATGGCGCTCTGGGGGGCAGGAAGGGACAGGGCCCTGAGGCACAGGCAGGGCCCGCCCGGCCAGGGCAGTCAGAGAGCAGCCTCAAAGGTGGATGCAGGCCTGAAGGGAGACGCAGGGTGAGAAATCTGCGGCTCTGAGTCGGCAGGCAATGTCACAGTGTCCTTCACCCACGGTGCTGAGCCCGCACAAGACCCAGGAACACCGGCCTGCCTGGCTGAGCTCACGGTCTAAATGGGGGTGGGTGACAAAACCACCAAATGGCTGTGACCCACTGTCAGCAAGTACTGACCTGGGTTGACTCTCTCACTGTCCCAGAGCTGGAGGCTGGAAGGGAGGTGACAGAAAAGTCCTGGGAAGCCCCTGTGGAGCCTCAATCCAGGAAATACTCACATGTACCAGTGAGTGATGGACACAGGCCCTCAGGTGAGCACACACGGGGTGATGGACACATGCCCTCAGGTGTGCACACAGGGGGTGATAGAGACATGCCCTCAGGTGAGCACACAGGGGGTGATGGACACATGCCCTCAGGTGAGCACACAGGGGGTGATAGAGACATGCCCTCAGGTGAGCACACAGGGGGTGATGGACACATGCCCTCAGGTGAGCACACAGGGGGTGATGGACACATGCCCTCAGGTGAGCACACAGGGGGTGATGGACACAGGCCCTCAGGTGAGCACACAGGGGGTGATGGACACAGGCCCTCAGGTGAGCACACAGGGGGTGATGGACACAGGCCCTCAGGTGAGCACACAGGGGGTGATGGACACAGGCCCTCAGGTGAGCACACAGGGGGTGATGGAGACATGCGTTGGAGAGCACACACAGAGGAACATCATACTTACATGAAGTAAGAGAGTGAGGGGTGAAACCAGGGAGCTGATGGCAGTGGGACTTGGGAATCAGTACCAGCAGCGCCAAGTCTGGAAGCCTGTTTCCAAGAGTTCCGTGGGCAGAGCAGCAATGGGAAGTGGATTATATCTCAGCTGAGAACTTCTAGAAGCAAGAGCCCATGGAAGGACCAAAACTGAGAGACGTGAAGAGTGTCTTGGCCTGTGTTGAAACAGAGAAGGGCAGACTATCTCTAGAGGAGATTCCGCTGCCTGGACTCGGGGTATCGTGGGGAGCCAAGCACGCTGGTGGAAGCTGCAGGTGACGGAGGCTGAGGAATGATGCACCAGCTTCAGGCTTCTCACCGATGGAAGCAATGGGGAGGGGGTGGGCTTGATGGAAGTGGGAAGTCTGTGGAGTGGCCAGGTCTGGCAGGTATACCAGATGTCCGTCCTCTTTTTCATGTTGTGTAATGATCTCCACTGTCATAGCTACACGTGGACCATTCGATCAGATGGACAGACAGACGGACAGAGCCCACGTCGCTCAGTGTGGTGAGAGGCTGGGAAGGAAGGAGCCCAGGGTTGCACGACTTGAGATATTGGGGAGACTTGGAGTTCCCCAGGAGCAGCAACTAAAATAGGTGTTTGTTCTTGAAACCTGGTTATGACACATCTGTAATAATAAAAGCGTAACATGCTAATTAGACCAGACAGCTGAACGACCTCCCAGACGTCCTTCCAGACGACCTTTCGGATGAAGCCGGGGCTGCGAGGGCCGAGCCCCTTGCACAAATTTCATGCATTGGGCCTCTAGTTGTTCAATAAATACCTCCAAGGAGAACAAACAATGCATCGCTTAGTGCTCCCACGGCTGAGATGTGCTGAGAACACAGGCTAGGCTCAACCACCAGAGAAAGGGCTCAGGGGATGCAACTGGAGCTGGCACCTGAGTGAGAGGGTCGGGGCACCAGTATGAGGAGGGGGAAGGCCGGGGGCTCCTGGAGACGGGACTCAGCAGGTGAGCAGTCACTTCAGGTGTGGAACCTGCCAGCTCTCCACGGCTGCCTTAGGAGGCTCGGGTTCCAGAATGGACTTCCTAGGGCAACGCCAGCAAGGCAGGCAGTGACTAAGTGTGGCTCGCGCCCTTGCGTTCTGTCTCCAGACAGATGTGGCCGGGCTGCGCGCGCTGGAAATAGTTTAATCATTACCTGCGTAGAGTCCCAGGGACCCACTGGAAGCGATCTGTTTAAATGTCAATGCCATTCATCTTGAAGGAGAAAACAAACCCTTTTGGCATTATTAGTCTTTGGAATTAGAGGACGCG